ACTTTAAAATTGGGATCTGGAGACTAACACAGATCTTAATATCATGGAGACTAGTGTTAGGGCACATGCTATGAAAGTGTGGAAGTAAAGGGTAAAGATGTTAATATTGTAAATTTAAATTTAGTTTTTATGACCTATACCACAACCGAGGCAAGTATCCACTTTATATGGTATAGATGAGGAACCTAAAAAGAAACCAGGCCAGGTTAATCTAGACCAATAATTTAATTAACCCAATTATGCATATTTTAAAATTCTAATAAAATCTGCCCAAATTAAGTCACAATTCTCAAAACCTTATGGGTCACTAAGGTCAATTAGGTTCCAATTCCAAATAGATGACTGATAATGTGATTGGAGTGTGAACAAGAACAGTATAAATTAGGGCTGTCAACGGATTTCGAAAATCCTATAGCGCATTCAATTTGATAAAAATTCAAGTCCAATTATATATATATATACATTTTTATTTTAATAAAAATAGAATGAAATTAAATTAAATCCGAATCCAATAAATTTCACATCAGATTCGGATTTGGAATTTTAATAATTGGACCAAATTCGAATGTAACTGAATTCGATCTGAATCTGACTTGATTATAGCCCTAGTATCAATAGATGCAGCATATTAAACTATTCATACAACTTGATTGGAAAAGGACATGAAAAAGGATTCATATAATCATGTAAAAGAAATTGGAAGTATGAGAGAAAGCTAGGAATGGCAACAGGACAGGGCAGGGTGGGGGACGGGGAGTCGCTCCCCATCCCTGTCCCCACCAACGGAGTCACTCCCCATGATTTTTTATAATGTCAATTATTTTGTTTTTGTTTTCTATTTTATTTAAAAATAAAAAAATAAAATAATTAAAATTTACAAGCTTATTTAAAAAAAGATTCAAACATATTAAACCAAATTTTTAAACATATTAATATATATATATAAATGCATGTGTGCTTATATTAGTGAAGATCCCACGGAGTAGGGGTCCGCCCTGTCCCTCCAATGGGGATAAAAATTTTCCCATCCCCATCCTCATCCCTGTGGGGGGAAAATCATCCCCATCTCCACCCTATCCAAGGTAGGTCCCATTAAGAATCGGGGAAAATGAAAAAAATTGCCATCCCTAGAAAAATCCAATAAAATTTGTCCAAAATTTTATTTTCTCTTTGACAGCACTCTCAATGCAAATTGGTCCCTTCGCTTATCCACAAACTAATAAAAGAACATTTTTGTTCAATGGATTTGGAGGTTTGCTAAGGCTGACCGGTCACGGGTTGGAGCAGTCCAATGCACCAGCTGTCTCATGACTCCCAGTTAATCTAGTCATAATAATACAGGATTAAAGTCTAATGAATCTTGGTTCAAGCGACTCACCCGGCCGAGTCAACAATAAAAAGGGACCATTACCAATGCTGGTCCCAGCCATCCTGACCTTGGTAAATGCTAGGATTTTGTAGCTTTACTCAAGAATTACTCATCAGTGTGCTATAGGCGTTGTGTGTGTGATCTCATACATACACATCGCCAAATTCAAAGGGGTTATTCTCATGGGTTAAAATTTTTCCAAATTTCAAGTTTTGAACTAGATTATTTCTCGCAAGGTTATTAATAATTTATGGGATATTTGGTATGGCTTCTATTTATTTAAAAAATGTTTGTATTTGATTTATTTTTAGAATTGAGAAAAAGTGGTTAATATTTTAGATGCTATTAAGCATCACATAAACTGTATTGTAAATAAACATCTTGGTGTTGGGGGAACATAAACCATGACAAATATTTATTTAATAAACAATCTTATCAAATAACATTTTAGGATAAACACCAACATGGCAATGAGTCAGAACAGTTTTCAAATAAATGGAAGCCGTACCAAACACCATTTGGATGTGACTTAAAGGAACTATTCAAGTTAAAAGTTTAAGCTGTTAAGTGAGAGATCACTTTGGCTGTTTGGAAAAAACAGCCTGGGCTGTTTTGGGAGTCTATACACATGACACCTTAGCTAATTCAGCTCTTCATTTTCTCTTTTCAACTAAAAAGGTATTGAGTCTAAATACTATTTTTACCCACTTATTATGAGATGTCATTTATAGGCTCCCAAAACAATAGCCAAAGATTTTTCATTAAGTGAGGTCTTTGAATAGGTTTTCATTCTCTACTACACCCTCTCACGTAAAAGCCCATCAAGCCTAAAGTATGAATGAGCACAGACCCACTCATACATTCTACTTAAATTTAATTAATTATGAGAAGAAAGTAAGGATTAAATACTAAACCAATTGATCAAATAAGCTCAGATACCATTTCAAAGAATACTTAAACATAAAAGTTTAAGCTGTTAGATAAGGTCACTAAATAAGTTTCTTATTGTCTGTATGGGTGTCTCACAAACACCAAGTACAACCATTTTTATTCCGGCCATGGCTATGCAGGTGCATTGAATCCCGTATGTGGATGAGATGATAAATAAAATAAACAAACACACGTGCACATATAAACATATACACCGACAAGTGATAAGAAACTGCTCAATCAATGATGTGTATTAAGCCAATAGAAGAGTGGTTTGGTGGAGAAAAGAACGTCCAATCCCCATTTTTATTGGCCTATTTGTCATCCACACGTGCTATCCAAGGAATTGGACCACCGACTGAATGGACAAGATGGATAAGCCAATTAGGATGTTGTGTGAACTACTATGAAGTTTCTAATCCCTTGCAGAGAGAGAGAGAGAGAAGCTTCTCTCTTTGATTTTTATATTAAAGAAAGGAAGTAGTCTCTAGAGTCCAGACACTACCATCCCTTTCTCTAGAAAATGGATACAATATGCCAAGTGGAAATTTATATTTTCGGCTTTCACGTGTGGGTGTTGAAAAGCTTAAAAAAGATAAAAAAGTAGAGAGAGAAAGAGAGGAGGGGGAGAGAGAATGACTGAATAAGGCCTCTAGACAAAGGGCATCTTGATGACTTCGTCACTTCTAAAATTCCACTCATGCATTCAGCAAATCCCTTGAGAGACGTAGACTTTTCTGCATTAAATATTTATTGAGAGACTCGGTAAGAGCATATTCTGTCCATGATTTGTGTAGAATACTATTTACTAGTTAAGATTAATAGTGGCATTTGGGATAAGAAATGAAAAGACATATTCCTGATGAAGAAACGGACATTGAATCAGTATTTTAATTTGTAGTTCAGCCTTGGTTGATTCCGTACTCGACACCCCCCTGCTCATGCTTACGTCGAGTAACTTGGGCCACTTTCCGGAATATCTCCTGTATTTTTTTTGCTTCATGGGATTACACAACTGGAGGGGGGTAGCCCATCTCCCTCCCTTAACCCCCCAACGTGGGTGGCAGTAAGGTTGATCCTGGGTTTCTATGGATTATCTCCCGTACTTGTATGTTAAATTCATGAGGATACAATATGTATAAACCACATACTGCAGCGCAACCAAATAGGATTTCTAGAAAGTAAAGCCAAAATGCTTATGTGGTGGAATTGGGTGGGGCCCAATAATCTCTACTCTACCGTTGCAAGAAGCGTCCAAGTACGTACTTGGAGGCTTAGCTGGTTGTTGGCTCGTAACTTTAGTCAATGGTACATCAAGGACTGGAGACTGCAACGGCTCCTGATTGGCTGGCCCCCCTCCTTTGGCTTTGGCTTTGGCTTTAGCTTTAGGTCGACAATTAACATCAACAGGATGTCATCACCCTAACAGTAGAATTAGAATTCCTTCTATTTTTTTTTTTTTTTTTTTTTTTTTTTTTTTATTTTGTCTGGCTCAGAAATCCTTCTTTGTTTTTCTCAACATGGAAGAGGATGGAACCCTGCAACTTCTATGACATTAACAAGCTAATAAGTAAGAGCAACACATCCCTCATCCTTACATTAATTAACAGATTTATGAATTTTACCCATGGTTTGATTTACAGTGGATTGTACAGATGTAGAACTCAACTTACAGTGGATCAAATATGGATGAACATATTCATTTTCAGACTATTAATTTCAACCCAGAATAAGAGATTGTCTGTCCTCTATCCATGAAAAACCAGACACAAACTTGCAATAATGCCTAGTGCTTATGAGTAGTCAGATAGTTGCATTGGTTATATGTGTCAATACAGGCATCAATGACGTGCTAAACTATTGAAACCAGGGAAAGAACAGCTAAGAAATCATCCTCCTCAAGGAAAGATTCTGAAAGATGAAACAGAAACACCATTTATGGGAAAGAATAACTACTAGATGAAAGCACAAAAAAAAAAAAGAAATTCACAAATACCTTTCATGGTCATTAAAGGTAAACAGTACTATCAAAACACACTGTTCCTTGTCTCTTGTAATAGTTGGTTTTGCTCTCTGGTTTGATGAAAAGGTCTTCACCCAATTCACTGAGGCAATCACAATGGGAACAAAGTTGTATTGAGATGCCCTGCATCACTATGATAATCAAATTACAAGAGTTCACACTCCAAACTTTCAGAGTGTGAGATAATTGATAAGTACACCTTGCACATTAGAAATGTACATTTCCCATTCTCTCTCTAACACTTTGATCATGCCTAATTAGCTGGTCATAAAATTGATCTCACAATAATGAACAAATCACCCAATCTACAGCCACGATTCATACTCAGATTATGACTGAAAATTAGACTGGTTTTGTTATAAGAAAACAAAAAATGGCTACAAGACCATTCCTAAGGGGTTCTATGGTTAGGCCACAGTTTCTCTGCATCTTTATAGATCAAAAGACAGACCATTTCACAGGAAGAAGAAGATATTTTGGCAACTTCAACATTAATTCATGAAAACAAAAGAATAAGATGTTGTGTGTGTGATTGTAAAATGTAACTTCTATATACTAGCATAAATGGGTGACATCTTTCATAGAAGAAAGGAATATAAGACCATCCACCAACAATATAAAGGGAAAAAACCACTTACGCTCATAATTTGACATACAATAAATAACATTATTATTATTAATGAAAATTTAAATCTCTAACTTTGAAAGTATCCAAGTAATTGATAAGTTCAAACATTCACAATGCTTACAAATTAACCATTCTACAAGTCTATCTTAGATCCAATTGACAGACCAACCAAGACCCAAAAATTTTAGCAATGACCAATACAAAACCAGGTCAATCAACTGGTCCAACTGACAAACCTCAGAACCTCTTGCCTAGATGGTTGGGCTTGTTGGAGATGGAGAGGGAGAGAGACCTGGAGAAGTGACAGGTGGTAATGTCTCTAAAGGAGGAGGTGGGGGAAATGGAGGAGATCCTGGGCAAGGGTGATCAGTAAGTGGACCACATAGATTTGGATTATTAGCAAAGCTGCAAAAGGGAAAAGACATGTGAGTCAATGTAAAAATTCAAAACAGAAGATCACTACATTTAGAAAAAATAATATCAGCAAGACACCTGATTGGAGTGAACAGAGAAAAGGAGCCATTGTTTGGAACAGGTCCTGAAAGTTGGTTGTTGGATAGATCTCTGTAGTCCACATTGTAAACTGTTAATGAGACATCCTTGCAACCAAAAGCATGCCATAAAGGGTGAAGAGAGAAGTTAAGACATGAAAAATGAGATCAGCTTTGTACATACAGAACTTGCAGTGCTTTGAGATTGGTTAAAGACATTGGAATCTGACCTGTCAACCTGTTGGAGTTAAGCCGGCTATCCTTACAAAGACATTCCAAAAGAAAATCATATTAAGTTTCAAATAATCAGAATGTAACATTACTTGAAAAAACATATAGGCAGACACCAACCATACTTTGAGGCTTTGAGCACGGCACTACTCCTTGGGCTAGCCATAAAACAATCTATATGCCATTCTATGAATCCTAGATTCCTAGTATATGATATTAAATATGCTAACTTAATGTTGATTGACCAGGTTTTTGAAAAGTATGCAAATTCTTTTCAATATTCAAAACAAAGCTATTCACCAGAAAATCTGCATACAAAGATATAGATTGATGTGGCTACTGTCCAACTAGGGTAGTCTAACAAGTAGAATATACCCAAATTATGATCACACGGTTTCTTCGATGAGAGAATGATGAAAACATTTTTGCGACTTCCCATCATTGAATGCAGTTATCCATGAAGCAACTTTCTGCATCATCATAATCCATCTCTATTTCAAGTTCACAATAACTACTGCCTATCTGTGCTAAGTCAAAACCCTTGTAGCAAACACTTAATTTGACCATTTCTAAATATCAAGGATCCTTACAACAATGATCAAGCAAACGACTCTTATAAATTCCCTTTTAGGATAAATTTTAATGAATGGAAAGAGGGAGTTTTGGCTACATTATTAGCTTTACATTGCGGTCATCACTTGAGATAAGAGCACAGCCAAGAAACCTTTTTGTCATATTTGAACTTTGTATGGCCCAGATATGATCCAAGTGTTGACAGATCTTAAACATTGAACTTAATATGCTATAGCTGTATCATGTCAACCTATAAAAGGATCAATTCTTCTTATGAATTTGAAAAATGACTACAAAATTTCTTCTTGATAATATTTCTCTTTAAATTTTATAACTCTGTAGGTTGATAAAGAACTATAATTCTGTAAACATATTAGCCTTACCTTCTGCCATGTACGCAAATGACAAACCATATTACATGATGACTAGTGCTATCTCAAAAGAATAAAAGACCATAAACAAAAAGAAACAATGAAACATAGTTATTCACAAAAAATAGGTTTAAGGATGATTCATACAGAAAACGCAGCTTTCTCAGCTTCCCCAGTGTATTTGGAATGTGCGCATTGAATTTGTTCCAGTAAAGATCCAAGCTCACTAAACCTTTCAATTTACCAAGTTCACTAGGAATTGGTCCACTTATGTTATTACTATAAAGTTCCCTGTCATAAATGAGAGGAATTCAATGATTTGTGAATCAGAAAGAACTGCACCAACTCAATAAAGCCTTTCTAGTAAAAAGAATCATCTACATTATTAAAAGTAACCATGTCCATTTTTTTGTTAAAAATAATTACCGTGATATGGATGACATAAAGGTATCCCTTGTGATAAACATCTTAAGATTGGACAACTTACTCATTATCCATTACCCTTTTATTAATAGAAATAGGCACTTCATACCAAAACAAATCTGAGATTAAGATGCAACCTTTGGGAATAAAAATACATGCACTTATAGGTAACTAATACATTCTTTTTTTTTTTATGATGAGGTAAGGATTCTGGAAACAGCTATAACAATATAAAACAATTGAAGATTGAGAGGAAAAGCATTGCAAATACATGCAGAAATACATAAGTAATACATTTCCTTTTTTTTCCTGATCTGAGGTAAAAAGATTCCATCTGCAACTACTAGAACTCCACTATAACAAACTGCAGGGCTAAAGATGCAGCCAATTATTAAACCAAAGTATCTACAACAAAAAGCAATTTAGATTTCAGGATTAATTTGATAGTTTACGCAAGAGGAAGAGAGAAAAATCAATATCCTTTGAAGTTCCATTACCCACAAATATAGCCACCAACCTATGGTCCTTCATTATCTCACATGACAAAGCATGGTTAAGGACACATGATTTGCCTTGGAATTACCAAACCTATACTTATGTTCTAATTCTAAGCTCTCACCTCATGGATTATCACTTCAATAACCATTTTAACTTTGTTCTTGCATATTTTTAGCACATCATTATACTTTGATTTTGTTATTCTCATATTGAAAGTTTATTATTGCACAATTCTTGCTGATGTTCCTTTATTGGATATCAGTAGCAGGATATATCTAGATTATTAAACTTATGTAGTTATTCTTCAATGTGCAATATATCTATGTACTTCTGCCTGGTCAATGATTACTTATTAGCTTAGTCACAGTATCCCGAGATGTTGGAGTCAGACAGATCCAACTCCTAGACACATACTCACACATTGCACCCTAACCCAAAACACATAATTTTGTAGCCATCAATTTTACCCTCCATATATAGGAAAAATCACATTCATCATACTCATAGTTAGTTATTTGCTATACCAGAATACATACTTCTATCTTGCAAACAGCCTCTCTGTATGTGCAGGGCTAAGGCTGCGTACATCAATTTTAACCATTGGTAGTTCTGCCTCATTTTAAGGTAACATACGAAACAAGATACATATCTAAACAGGTGAGAAGAGTCTACTATCTGAAGATTAGGTTTACTGAGCAATTGATAATTTCTGTCTATTTCCTGCCTGTTAATCCATTAATTAGGTCAAATGGTAGTAAATATTAAGTAGTCAATATCAAAACATTCTTGAATATGCAGAGGGTACTGCAGAGGTATCATAAACACAAACTCAAACCAGCAGAATCATGGATAGAGTTGTTGAAAATGAAAATTTTGAAACATGTGAATTAAGGTAATGCGAAGTTTTAAGAGAAGTATACTTCAGGGAAAGCAGATATACAATTGCAATCTTAATCATATAAAAACAAGAAAAACCTCGAAAAATTTCAAAGTATACATGCATGACTTACAAGTACTGCAAATTCTTAAGCTGACCAAGTTGTGGGACAAGTTGACCAGACAATGAAGCGTTTCCAAGATCACTGAAAGAAGATGAATGAAACAATTGTCACCATAATACATGGTAGCTAACAAGAAACTAGAAAGCAATTCAGATGCCCATTGGAATTCTACAGATAAAGCACCACAAGTCATTCAAAAGGGAAATAACTTACACTCTTATGACACTGTTATCATTGTTGCAAGTAACATGAATCCACGTGCAGGGATTAGGAAGGGTAGGATCCCAGCTCTCCAGCACAGCATTAGGATCTTCTAAATTTACCCTTAGGCTAAATAAAGCATCAACTGTTGCACAGGAAAACAACAAGTATCAATTGATGGTTGGGAAAAATCAATAAAAACAACTGATTTATCTTCATTTTGATGGTAAGTAAGATCAAACCATAGACTACTGAAAATTTACCATTTCAAAAGCAAAAAAAAAAAAAAAAGATATTGAACAATTATCAGCATTTTGAATTGCCACAACTTGTACTTGCAATCTAACAGGCAGATGCTAGTCAAATGAGGAGAAGCAACATCCAAATCTACCAAGAGAGAACTGCAAGGAACCAGACTTCAGACTACTTTGACATAGAATTTCAAACAAATTCTCTTCCTAATTAGACTGTAACAGCTAGTCAAAAGGGTAGAAATGTATCATTGTTCTCCAAGAACTCTCCAATGCTAAATTCTTCAATTTGTTACTGAAGTCAGTATTGCTCTGAAACCCATCTCTAATACTAATATCACTTGGAGACTTAAGAGTGTTGACTTATAACTCTGCTACAACTACGACCCTAGAATTCAGGCAGGTACCGACTAGTATTTGCAGCCCCAAAACAATGGGTTTTGTGAAAAAAAAAAAAAAACGGGAACAAAAACCAGCTCAATGTAGTATATCAGCGAACAAAATCCACCCATTTCTGCATGCCCGTTTGACTTGAGGAAAGAACATAACCTTCTGTTTTGTTTGATACAACAGTAGTCAGTGCAATATTACCAAACATAAAGAAGTTCATCATACACCAATTTCATTAAGAGATACTAACAAAAATACAAAGGGGTGCCAAAAGCAAATACAACCTTCCTTATTAGCATAGATACTCGTCAGTGGAAGGAAAACCAGGATCAAGCAGAAAAGAACAGAGGTAACCATCCCTCGCTCCATGACAAGAAACTGTGTTCTTATTTCTGCTTTGAAACTTGTTAAATGCTTGAGAAACATGATATAAAGTTCACTGAGAACAGAGCAGTTGTTTAGAAACTGTGCGTTCAACAATGGCGGGCGATCCAGAGACTTTTGACTCTTCTAACTGAATTTTTATGGGAAAATTCCCGAGAGACTTTTGACTCTTCTAACTGAATTTTTATGGGAAAATTCCCGATTAGTATGATGTAATTTAGGTTAATTTAAAATGCGACAATTCAGTATACGTGCCACTCAATAAATACATAAATGCCCTTTACGATTTTTGAAAGTGTAAATGCAAAAGTCCTCCAGTTCAGGTGCATGCAATTGTAGATCGGATTTTACCTTCAATTTACACATTTTTTGTTTGGCAACCACTGATGCAAAATAAGGGTGTTAATTTGTGACTGTTTAGATATTTCATAGGAAAAAGTATGGACAGGTTTGATGAAGATTTCTGATTTTCATTATAAAATTATAAATATTCAAAATGTCAATAATTCACATTTTATGCACCAACGCTTGCCCATAAATTAATTAGCATCAATTCCCAATTATCACCTACCCTACCTCAACAATACTTTATATTTAGGCCTACAAATTCTGACCTTAAGCTGAACCGTCATTCTTCCTATTTTATAAGGACGCAGATTACCATCTCTTTTTTTTTTTTTTTTTTTGCCAAAAATGACCGTTCCCTTCACTTGTGTGGCCTAATGACCTGTGCGACCCATTCCTAATATTTATTATCATTTTTTTTCTACCCAGGTTCACTTTAACTGGCACCCATGTAACTGTAGTTTCTTGTTCCTGTTACTGGGTGGGGAGATCTGTAACAATCTGATAGGTGACAGGTGCCAAATAAAGCATGGAAATAGGCCATGCAATCCATCCCAACTGTCCAACACTCCATACCATAGACAGGAACCTGGCTCCAATAACTGCAGTTATTATATTGGCAATACATGTCCAAAAGGTTTCTGTCAAATATTTTCTTGCCCAGAAGGCACATATATGAATTACACAGTAAGGCAATAATCAAATAAAGCTTAACTAGTGTTAGACGGATTTTACCAGTTCTGATTTGACGCCCATCATCATCACAACAGGAACCTTTAGCTAACTCAAGAAAGCGTTGGACTGCCATGCTTTTCCAATTCAATGTAAGCTCTGTGGTAGCCTACCCGAGATCATGTTCTGAATATAAAGATTCTAAAAGCTAAAGACATGTAGATCATCTTCACTTGTTGAGCTTGCCAATCCACTACCAGGATTGTTCTTTCTTTCTTTTATTCTCTATTGTTAGTTATCATCACAATGATAATAAATTTTAACAGAAAAATGCAAACAAAAACAATTGGCACTCTTTTCCAATTTCCACTGTTAATAGCTAATTTTGGAAATGCTAGGTAGAAGATATGTAATTGTTTTGACTGAAAATGCTAGTTCATTTCACATGGCATCCAGCCCATGTAGCCTAGAAGCTAAGTAACTGGATGTTGCAATCTCCCATGTTTCCTTTGACATCCCAAATCTATGTTACTGATTGCCACGTGTCACACACTCTATGGATGTGTCCCTTTCCATCTATTTATTTTTCTTGTAAGTTGCTTTTATGTGAATCTAGGTGATCAACAATAGCAACCGGTGTTCACAGCAATGATAACATGAAAGGAAGGAAGGAAAAATAAATAAATAAAGAAAGAAAGAATAAGAAGAAAAATTAATAAAAAAAAAAGCAAAAAGAGGAGGAAGAATAACTACTTTTGTATCATAGCATATGCTTTCAAAAGCTAGGCAAATAAGACCATCTTGTAATTTCAAGTAACAAACTGATTGCCAAGAGATTGTTTGGAGAGGAAAAGGAGGATGCCTTTTACATATTTGTCTTCTCCACTGCTTTTGGGAGAATGGCTATTTGGCTGGTCTCACTATTTTTAAAATGCCAAATTTATTACCATGCACCTCATCATATTAGCCACTATAATAGGTGTTTGAGGTGGGTTAATACCTTTCACCATGTCTGAGAGCAGCTAGTGAGCTATCACTTTATCATATTGAAATCTGATGAGAGCATGGGAATCAAGGAATGGAATGCATTAAAAAAAAAAAAAAAAACATATTATGTACATCAATGGGCCGGGAAAAGTTTGGATTTAGAGCATAATTACGTTTAATTTGTCAACTCTTACCCTACCCCACATAAAATGAAGAGAGAATCATGGTTAGTAAGAACCATAAAATTCCTTGCAGTGTGTTTAAGAGATGATCAACCCCCTCTTCCCCCCCCCCTGATAGTTTAGGGAGCCACGTGTAAGTTTAGGACTTGATGATGAGGGAGACTGCATCATATATACTGTTTTCTAGGCCTTAAGTTCAGATCCTGCCTTTACATGGTAGGATATATGATGATGATGTTTATCTATGATGATGATGATGATGTTTGGAATAATTTACAGGCCTCTAATTGCCTTTTTCAGAAGAAGCCAAAAAATGTTTCAAATTTCCAATATATGAGGTAGAATTTAATGTTGTGATCTAATCATTGAAACATTTTTGACCACAAAGCCTTGGAGTATTTGAACTTCCAAAAGAATAAATTCCCATGATTTGCACAATGGAGTTCTGATGTTCAATTTTTTCTTTGATTTGAAAGTATGAATCTGAATTCACAGAAGAATCAGAGTTGAAATTTTACAAAAATGGAGTTCTTCCATTTGGACCATTCCACAAGGCAGAAGATGGAGTGCAAGAAAATTAAGGGAACAACTTTTCAATTGAAAAGATATTGATCTAGATATATGGTTAATTGGCCAGGGATATTGTCCCCTTTGGCTACAGTTAATCTTGTGGAAACAAGAATTTCAGTTATAACTTTTACCTCAACATAAAAAAGGTTATGCTAATATAAACACTATAGATACATCTTAAAATATGCTCCACCATATAAGAAAAGAAATAAGAAAATAGACAAAAAAACAATAATAGTAGATGATTAGGGGTAATTTGGTCCTCTGATTGACATCACGACACATGGCTTTCAAGTGACACTTCAGCGTTGAGTAAGCAAATTATCTTGGCAAGTCAGATGGTAGCAGCTCGCCTAGGCCGAGCTAGAGTACTTCAGTCTGGCCGACTTGAAAGGGCTTTGGGCAAGGAGCGACCTACCTCAGAGAACGACCGAGCTATGGTAAGTACCATTGGCGACCTATAAGGCACGTCCGCTAATTTGTCACATAGATCCATTTCTAGTCCAAGATATCCAGAGTATTAATGAGTCGACCATTGGGTTGGCCTACCTGCATCACACACATCAGAGTGAATCGGACCGACCTTAGCACCCCGCACAGATTATGTAACCGACGTCATTAGTCTCCCTACTTAGCAGAAATGGCTCTGCGAGAACCTTTAAATTTTGAAACACCTACATGAATTTTGAATCAAAGCACCTTTAATTTAAAAATCAAAGCACCCACATGAATTTTGAATCTGTCTATCAAACATGGTTCAAAGTACCAATACTTTGTTTTTTTAGTCTAGTATTTCTATTATAAACATTTAAATTTTCAAACAAAGATTTTAACATTGATAGGGTTACAGTTTCTGCAGGAGGAAGAAGGCATTGACCATATTTTTAAGAACTGTGAAATTGCCAAATAAATTTGGAGAATATTATCCTCTTCTATTGTTAGCCCAAATGATATTGATTCTTCTCTTGCCAATTGGTGGGAAAAAGTTAGAACTAGTGACTTAAGTGGTGGTCTCAATAATAAAGAGAAATGTCTTTTTTTTTTTATTTTGTGGAATACTTGGAAGAATATAAATCAAAAGAATTTTAATAATATATGTACTCCCCTCATATGATCTTGGAGAGAGCTTTAGGCTGCATTTGGATACGATGTAAATCAAGAACCGATGTAAAATTTACATTGGTTCGCTTTTGTATGTATTTGATAAAAGGGTATAATTATTATCGACATAAAACTATACTTCGGTTCAGTTTTGCATGCGTTTGGATGGAGTGTAGTTTTACGTTGATACTAGATGTAAAACCTCGTCACCTTTAAAGTTTTATCGATGTAAAACTTTACATTTTTTTACATCAATTTTCAAAATGTAATAGTCATTATATACGGTTCAGTGTAAAACATCATCAGTGTAGACGACGTTTTACACTTCTTCCAAACACAGCCTTAAATGCTCAAAGGGAAAATAAAAGTTCCATAAAGAAGAATTCTCTTATTCAACAAAGAATTCCCTTATTCAACAAAAATATGGAAGTTCATTATTCGGAAAACTCCAAATTTCAACGCTATTAAGATAAAATTTTATGCCTCTCACTCTTGTAATGGGATGAACTCTATTACTGCTATTACTAAGAACCATATTGAAGAGGTAGGGGACTACAAAACTTACATCTTGGGGATTATTTCCATCAATCTACCTGGGGCTTGGGACGCTCATAATTTGGAGGCGAATTGGTATGCCAGAAAAAATCTATCTTGCTTTATAAATGCCAGAAAAAAAAAAAAAATATGAGCTATCGTTCAAAATATGAGCTATTATTCAAATGGGCGGCTTGTATTCCATCGTTCAAAAGTTCAAGTTTTCAATTCATAAATGCCAGAAAAAATAAGATAGATCATTTATGAACACAAGGCAACGACTGGACTTTGGAAGTGGAGAGGGGAACAAGTAGGTTCTGAATTGTGTTATTATTTTTTTTTTTAATCGAAGCGACCTGACCGCAGAATCTTGACCTATTTCACATTCACAACGATGTTATTCTGCTCAAAAGTGCCTGCTTGAGAAGGCTTTACGCAGACATCTGACTTTCCATTGTGGCCCCACGAGGAAAGCCTTATAAGTTATGTTTGATGAAAGCTTAGACGTGTAAATTGGGATGTGCCGGCCATGGCCTGACACGGCTTGGTATGATGGCATGTAGGTCGTGCCAGGTACGTCACAATCATGTAGGCCATGCTAGGCCGAGGGTTTCAGGTTCATGGGCCGACACGACTATGTGTGTCGTGTCACCCATGGCCCACGTGCCAACACAGCCTAGTCTACAACAAGACACTGCCCACAGGCCACAACAGACTGAGTGCAACATGTTTTAGAAAATTAGCCATTGGGACCCTTGGGAGATCCCCAAACAGCTAGTTTAGCTTTTCTTTTAGGGGGTTTTAACAGAAATACCCCCTCAATCAATAAGTATAAGCATATAAATAACTATATATGGGGGTATTTATGTATTTTGGCTTTGGGGAAGAAAAAGACAATAATGCCCCTCCAACAGCTACATCCTATAATATGATAGTTAGTTTGGGACTTTGGGGAATTTAGGTAAAGTGATAAATGACTTTATAATGACCAAAATACCCCTCTCAACAATTAAAAAACAATTAGTTTTTAGGGTATTTTGGGCAATTTAATTATTTTCAATTCCTATAAATAGTCATATCATTCACCGTTCTCATCACACAAATTCAGCAACTCTCTTCTCAATTCTCATACTCAGTTTTTCATCTTATATTGTCATAGTGTCATACACTTGCAATTTAAGAGGCTTGGCCTTTGAGGCTTCAACCATTGAAATCAAGTTGCAATTCTGAATCGATAAGCCACCCATCCAGGTAAGTGCAATTAAATTAATTTTTATTTTTTTAAAATTAAAAAACGGTTGACTCCTCCTCTAGAAACCAATTCTCCAACAGTAAGTTCACTGCTATGATTTAAAAAGTATTTAAAATAGAAGAGGTTGAGGGGAAGGGAAAAAGAGTCATTTGCTAAAAATGTAGGATTGACTTTAGCTTCAGTAGCAAGAGTGGTATTGGACATTTAGGCAAATATTTGCTCTTCCATGAGAAACAAGAGAAAGACGTATACTTTAAAGATTTATTGGATGTTGAGGATAAATTACAAGACAAAGGAGGAAATGACACTACTACACCTGATGAAACAAATGATTGAAGTCAGAGAGATGGAGTAGTTTTTTCAAATTTATTTAAATTATTTGTTATTTTTTCAATAACGTAATTTATTATTTTCATTTTGTAATTTTTTTATATTTTATTTGAAATAAAATTCTTATTTTTCCAACTTGTTGTCCATTTTATATTTTGATAAGTATTTTTTCATTTCTTTGTTAGATTTTTTTTTTTCAATTTGTTTATAAAGGAAAGTTAAGTATTTTAGTTTTACTTAACAAAAAAATAAAAATAAATAAAATGTTAGAAAAAACAACAAAAAAATACAGTCCAGGCCTTCCTATCTACAGCCTACCTGGCCCAGACCCACAGCATGGCACAGGCTCACACGGGATCGGGCCATGGGCCGTGCCAAGTCAACCCCCCAAATCAAGGGAGGGAGAAACAGCCTAGATTGGCTCGCGTACCGGCCCCAACATCTCTAAGAAAGTCTAAGAGGGCTTTTGGTCTTTCATGCAAGCTTTCAAGAGAAAGCCTTGGAGCTTAGATTTGGTGAAATGTTTACCAAAAAGCCCTGCGCTTTGAGTCGGCCAAAACTAATCATGGGCTTTCCAATGAAGTTATTGGTTTATTCAATGCTGCATCGTCTCAATCAAAGCTGAAGCCCCCCCCCAAACGGATTCTAAAACATACCAATGCACAAGTCATCAATGTATTAAAAACTGACCCAGAACTGAAACTGCTTTGACCACCATTTCTTGGGTTAATGGTTCAATCATCCAGTTCGAATGGATGGCCCATTCCAATTTAAAAAATAAAAAAAATAAAAATAGTTAAAAACAGTTATCCGAGTGAAATGGGTTGATGGTTCAATTGCCCGGGTCAGGGTCAACAAATCATTGACCAAATCAACTTCCCGACCCGCTTTAAACTCATCATAAATATAAAGTTCGACATACTAGCATTCATTTTATTCAGCAGATGAAATCTTTCCAACAACAAAGACAGAAATATCCCCTACTTGTTGGATGGCAACAAATTCCAATTACCAAGAATTTAAACCGACCCAAGGAAGTTACCAAACGGTCAAAGCCAAACCAAACAATGACCCAGTAAATAAGAAGTGTTCCATAACCAAATATTATTTCTTTTCCATGTGTCAGAGAAACCTTTACTTGGTTTCCACTGACCCCGTAGCTATAATCCAGCATGCATTATTTGTGAGCAACGGCATAAAATCAGAAAAATGCAACATATTTTAGTTAGCCTATAAGTAACATCTAGGTTTGCTTATGTTAGAATAGCTACATCAACCATATATGTTAGTAGAACACATCGATGCAACTGTTAAACTATAGAAATCAGAGAGACAACAGCCAAGAAATCAGTTCTAAGTTATAATACGAATATACAATACACATTTGTACAGAGTATAGGCAGGTGACCATAGGTCTTCATAACAAGGTGAGTCTTCAAGACGAATTTGCTAACATCATCAACCTTGTTCCTTGTAAGGAGTCCAAATTAACTTGCTCACATCAACCTCAAGTCCCCCACGGCCAGCAGCCTTCAGATGACGATCCAGAACCTTAGGGTCTGCACAGATGACATGCTGCCCTTTCCTATACTGGATCAGATCGAGTCCCTGCAGGGTGGTCAAGATATCTTCTGCCTTTATGGCTGTCATGTCACTCAGCTCCTAAGAAAGAAGATGTGAAAAAGTAAGAATTGAATCATCCATCAGATTATGTCATTAGACGGTAACCAAAAAAGAGTACGTCAGAAAAAATAGGCCCACGTTCAGCATAACAATTTTTGTTACTAATTACAATCTAGTAGGGGGATAGGCTATTAAGCGGGGAATCAACTACCGGTCACCATTCTATCTTCTCCTCCTATGAGAAATTGGGTTTGGTCCTTAAATTCCGAAGATATTATCCTTCTTTGTGATGTGTACTCAATCAGTCTAATGATACTTTTGGTTTTTGTGTATTTGATAATACTTTTTCCTTTACTCTTGCGGCAGGTGAGAAGTTAGGTCCAGTAAAGGGCCCTTTTGAAGCTGAAAGCGGTGCTGTTTTGCAAGCTCTTTCTTTTGCTTTGGAGGAAGGATGGAAAAAAGTGGTAGTCCTGTCTGATGCTGTGAACCTAATAGCCTTTTTCTTTTTGCAGAAGTCGAATGTTTCTGTTCTTTGGCAGTGTAGTTCTTTGTTGGACAAAATTTCTAGATTACTTCACTCTTTTACTTCTGTTAACTTTTTGCATATTATTCATAAAACCTTTTCTAGGCCTGCCCATCTTGTGGTGCGAAAGGCCAAACTCTCAGATGATGACTGTGTGTGGGTTTCCCCACCTTCTTGGTTGGACCCTAAAGAAAAGGAAAAGCAACTGACAAACAGATTAAGCTCCTTCAATCGAGGACATCAGCCTAGGTCAGCATAACCATTTCTGTCATGCTTGGGTTGAGCTTGACCCAGCTTGTATCCTCACCACACCTCACTTCAGTGCTTTATTTAAATCCCAAGCTTTTTCTAAAGTGCAGGCAGCCTCTGACAACTCTAATACTAATTGACGAAGTAACTTCGTAAGTTCAGACCAATACTGTCAAAACAAACTACTTATAAGCAAGCAAATACAATATCTCAAAGAATATTAGAGAGAGCAAGTATTTAGAAAATGTAATTATTCTGAAGGGAAAAAGAAAATCTCACTAGTAATGATCTCTATGTATTTAAATACCTTGTACAAAAAGCAGCATGACATAAATAATTGCTTCCTGGATTCTCAAAGGACAATTTTATCCAGCTTAGGAGCAGCACTATGATTCTCAATATATTTTCCATTTAAACATATAGTACATTAAATACAGCTTACTTATTAGTGCAATAACAAGTTCTTATCATAAATTTGTGTTACAATTTTACCTTGAAAGAAAATTAGATATTAAATGCTGTTACATGTGATGTGACGTTTTCCCATCTCTTATTAGATTTTGAAACTCCACCCTTTTATGTATACCTTTTCATGGCAAAGAACTAAATGTATAATTTTTTTAAACCAAAAAAAAAAACAAACTTCTATATACAGATATAGATAGATATGGATGGATAGACACATGGTCAGAGATCCTTGCATTAGCTTTGCTTTTCATTTGCAGGTCCTCCATTCTCTCTTGATTCATTTTCCTATTCATCTAATCTTTTTGTGCATGCTACCAAAAATGAATGGACGTAATTAAGTAGATATGACAAGCATTCAAGCAATGTTGGAAAACTGGGCCAAAAGTATGCTGATGTATGCCATTCTTTCACAGCCTTTTCTTTTTTGGTTAAGAGGAAAGATCAGGCTACACAACACAGGGAGTAGTCCTCCCCCAGCAATCACTAAAACAAATAAGAGAAAGGGCCTATTAGAGAACAAAGAGTCTGCCGCAAAATTTGCTTCCCAAGGGTGTATTGAAAATTTGACTTCCATCTGCTACAGATTGAATGGCATTCATCTGTGATACTTTTTATACTCCAAGGAGGAATATCCCAACCCTTTGACAGTCTATATCAAGCTTCAAGTCACCTTCTATCATGATGTTGACATTGGTAAACAACTTTGCCATATCATGAGACATTGGTAAACAACTTTGAGAATGTGACCCCTTTCGACCCTAGCAATACAGCCAATAGCTTAGGACCCATCAGCTTTTCTAGAAGCATCAAAACCTATTTTGATATAGGAGTCCTCGGGGGTTCCCATCTTAGCCAGATATTTTGTTATGTAACCCCAGGTTTTTCCTCATTTAGCAATTTAAAGTTTAAACTCAACAGCCTCCTCTCTTGCTTTATCAAAGAAAATCGAGGGAGAGAGGGACCTATTTTTAAACAGATCTCAAATTTCTTACTTCCTAGATAGTATCATTTTTGGATTCTTACCCACCAGTCTAAAATTGAGTTATCCACATTTGAGGGTACCATAATTGAATTCTCTAACAGTCTCCAAGTTTGACTAGCATATTCACAGTTTAGGAAAATATGATTACAATCTTCCCACTCCCCACAAACCATGCAATCTTCATCTACATTTAGACCCCTTTCTCTCACAGCCTATTCAACATTCAACGAGGCCAAGACAAAATATTGGTATTTTAGTAACATAAAGAAAACTTAAAAAGGAAAATAATGAGAACCCGAAGGAAAATTGGTTATAAGAAGACAAAGAAAATGACAAAATCAGAAAATTAGAAATGACAAGTAAAATGCATACCTTGATGGAAATGTTGCCCTTGTGCTTTTTCAAGATGTCCAGAAGGACCCTGGTCCAGTACCCTCTGTAGCTCACTAGTCCAAGGTCAGAAAGTGGCCTTTCGGGTGTCCCTACTTTGCCTTCTTTCTTAGAAAGTTCATATGCTGTTCAGTGATAGAATCAAATAAATAAGAATTTGGCAAGAGTGCAAGAGACATGCTATAAGTCAAAGGATAAACCAAAATCCCAGTGGGTGCATGCCTGGGTGATTTGGCTTTCATGAGTTTACAAAGTCAGAACAATTTCTTGCAACCATCCAATAAAACACAAACATGATGCTATCAATCAAATGAAAAAAACAAATAACTCAGTGAAGGCATGCCTTCTTTTGCTATACCAAACCATACAAGAACAACCCACTACCAAATAAAATAGAAACTACCTCTAGGATATACTACCTACTGTCACAATCAAGTAACACCAAGGAAGCTTAACATGTTTCCTTTCTTTTCTTTTCTTTTCCTAGGACAAAAATAGAAGCTCAGCCCCTTTATTTTCCGATATTTCTCTCTTCCATTTTTTTCATGAATAGGTTAACTTTCTATGTTTTTTGATCAGTTGTTGACTTTCTATGTTTTATATAAAGTTTATACATTTTTTTATGAAGATAGCTGACAATTTTAGTAAACGATGGTTGCTGTTTGCCATGGAACCTAGGGAATTACCCTAGGATTCATGGTTTTTATTCCAAAAAAAAAAAATCCCATCGCTCAAGCAACAAGGAACCCCCTATTGCCTCGCCTCACATTGGCGCCTTGAAAACTACATATTTTCTTTGCATGGATGCAAAGATTCTATATTATCATCCAATATTTACCAAGTAAAATACCATTACGTAGGACCAGCTAAGGAACAACAATGAAGCATACTTTTTTTTGATAAATAACAGAAACTTTTATTAAGAATGAGATTAAAAGAGGCATACATTCGATGATCAAACTAAAAAATTGCTAGAGTAGGAAAAAAAAGACTTTCCTTGAGCTGTGATACCTAGATACATGAACATACTTAGCATATCTATGTTGCTTGAATAAAAACCAAAACGGACCCCAAACACCACTGGGTTCTTGTAGAAAAAAAGAATTTATATGTGCTTTTCTATAACCAATTCAATTTTACAAAAAAAAAATCATGAAAAACTAGAAGTAAAAGCACAGTAATAATATATCTTGGACTTATAAGTAATGGTCTTATCCATGTTTTCCACATCAGTTCCTGTATGAGTGTTTATACCTGGATATCTAATCTGCTATGGGAGATCCAAACTAAATAGTTTTTTTTTTTTGACAACTTCAAAATTTTATTAAAAATGGAACAGAAATCCATACATACAATATAAGCATCCCTTAAGAGAGGTGCAAGTGGCAACCTCTCACATCACAATAAACAAATTATGACTGAGCCAAATTATGACAAGCCCATTTGCCGATCTTTGCACCCATTGTATCCTTAAGGTCATATTACTAGATAATCATTTGAATTTCTTTACTCCCCCCATAAGTCCATACCATAGTTTCTGAATTACTTAACCAACCCATCACCACCTCAGAGTCCCCTTCAATAATCAAGTTATCCAAATTCATGTCTATTTAGTTAACCATATAAATATTTGCAAGGTATATTAATAAATTGTGCAAGGAGGGCTTTCCAGGAACAAGTTAAATCCACTGGTAAGGATCAACAGGTTGATCATTCTATCCATCCACTTTCCCTTTCAAATATAAAACTAGCAAAAAAAAGAGAAAAGGGGGAATATATATAAAGGAAACTTACAGAAAGCAATTAGAAATTTTCCATAGCCTTTCCTTTGATAAGGGGGCAGAGTAAGGATGCAGGCCAAATTATATGATTCTTCTGAATGCTTTTCCTGTTACAAATCCACAACCTCAACAATGAGTTATACAAGTTTGGCATAAAGAATATAGAACGGAAACACAAATCAGAAAAAAAAAAGGTTTATTGTCCAAACTAGAAAACCCAGCTTCAAAATTTCAATGTGATAGAATGTAGCTTTGAGTATATATGAACCAAAAAATGGGTTAATCTCCTATTCTCTTCAGTTGATACCCAGTTCAAGAACCAAAGCATAATGAAAGGACATGAAGTAGCAACCTAAATTGTCTCTCAAGTCTCAACCTAGCTACAACTATGAATTAGGACATTATAGAAAGTCTAATAACTTTCATGAAGCATAACCAGCTCAGATTATGTTGACCGGCAAATTTCAAAATTGTACCCCAAATTATCAGCGACTCCAGAAGATGTTCTTTAACAGACTATCTGAATCAAATAGTGGTATAATTTTGTCCTATGACCTATCCAATGGGTGGCCTAACATGCAGAAAGTTCACATTGTACTGTATCACTATCATACACATCCATATTGAATAAGAAAATTTCCCACAGACCAAGAGTTCGGTTTCCAGATTCATATGCATTTGTTTATCTACATGTGATTCAGTATACAGTACATGGTAACCCAGAGAATCTTTAACATGGTAACCCAGAGAGCCCATTTGAACTGTTCCAAATACTAAAAAAAGCCTAAACCTTCTAAGGCTGGTGTCGAAATATATATGTTTTTGCAATTAACAAATAACTCACAGAAAAATAAAAAATAAGAATAATCAACATATAACTAGAAAGAAAAAAAATATATCTCACAGAAGCACCTACCTTAGAAAAATATCCAACCATATGACATCCTCGATCATCACATTCACATAGAACGTAAAATAGAAACAGATCAACATCATAATAAAGTGTCTTGTGATCAAGGAACAACTTTGCCAAGTAACAAAGATTCTGACCATAAACTTTGTTCTTTTTGCCATCAACCTGCATCAGATCATTAAGCTCTTAGATTATATGTAAAGTTCACTGCTAGAATCTGATTTTATGGAAACATAATAAGACTACATAAAGTGGAAGTGCAAGAAAAAAGAAAAAATATTAAAATTGCAAATATGAAATATATATTTGTAGATTAAGTTGAAACTTATATAAAATTATAATTAAGAACTTTAAACACAAAAATGAAGGTTCAATCAACTGTACACAGTTTTTTTAACAAGAAACAAGACACTACACAAAACTAAATATGGCATACAGTAAATGGTTAAGATGTATGGCTAAAGAAATTGGTGGAGATATTCCTAACCTAACATTTCATGGTAACTCAAACCAATTAGCAGAACATCATTGCACTTCAGAGATTGAACTAAAAAAATCCATGACAACTTACCTCAAACATTGACAGTGTGCCATTGCGGTAGATCTCATCACCTGGGGGATGTTTGAGATCACACTTCCTCTATACAAGACAACACAGAAACAGCATAAAGGTTAAAAGATCCCCAAAAATTTAAAAAAAAAAAAAAAATGTTTAAGGAACAAAGAATAATTATGTCACAAGTCACATACTGATGAAAAACTAGTCTTTTTCTTCAGATAAAGTATGAACAATGCAGGAGCAGAAATGAAGAAGAAATTCCTAACAATGACCAGCAGTGATGAGTTGTCCAGCCCGTTTTCTTAATCATGGACCTACAAATAGGTAGGTCTAACAAGCATCAATGGTGCCATTGGCAAGGAAGAATGCACAAAGGTAGATATGATGGCTTTTCTTTTGGGGGGGCACAGGCTTCCATGGCCTTAAACCCTTCATCCAACCTGATTATAGGAGATTCCTCAAATGCAATTAGATAAGAGAAAGGGCTCATGGTCTGTTCTTTTTTGGTCTAGCGACATTCTTCCACATCATCTTTTTGCAATATTTCATACTATTAATATTTCCATCTAACCATTCATGTTCAAGAAAGCACGTCATATAAAAAGTTAAAAATCATCCATCTAACAAATCATATGCATCAAAGGCAAACTCTAAACCACCAGCATGGTATAAAACATTAAGTGGGTAAGGCCAATAGGCAAAGGTGGATAGTAAATAAAACAAACTTAATGATTATGGGGGACTGAAATTTAGATTTTGAGAATTACAGCAATATCTCAATGAGATTTAACAGGAAAAAAGTATAAAAAGGGTAATCTTATGGCTAAAATTACTGGACTTATTTCATCTTTTCTCATTTAGTGATATTTGGAGGAATTGGTTAGCAGTGGCTAATTGTTCATCTAGAAAGACTAAAGTGAGTCTGACTTGGGAACCCCCTCCTGAGAATTTTTTGAAGCTGAACTTCGATGCAAGTAGTCTTGGTAATCCAGGTCCATCAGGGGTGGGAGGGGTACTGAGGAATGAGGCTGGGAATGTGGTTCTTATCTACTCGGGGCCAATAGGAGCTGGAAACTCCATTAGGGCGGAACTTGCAGCTGTTATCCAAGGAGTACAGCTAGCTGTGCAGATAGGTGTGGAACATCTGATAATAGAAGGGGACTCCAAGGTGGTGGTGGGATGGCTACAAAACCCAGGCTCTATAGTGTGGTGTTTTAAGAATGAAATTAAAAAATTCAACTGCCTGACAAGGAGCTTGACAGTGAGAATACAATGGGTGGGGAGATCTGCAAACTCTATGGCTGATGGCCTTGCAAAGCAAGGGGTAAACAGGGAAAGTTTATATTGGGCTCAATTGTAGATTGAATCTGCTTCCTGGTTTCTGTTTTCTGTTATCTGTTTTCCTTTGTCTTTCTTCCTGCTATTAGGAGAGGATGCAGCTTGTGCCTCTCCATGGGAAGCTTGTAATTGCATTAATTCTCTATTAATGAATCTTTTCTCTTTACTCATAAAAAAAAAGTATAAAAAGGGAAGAAGTAGGCAGTAAATTTACAAAATCTAACACAACAAAAACATTAAAGGCAATTGGATGAACTCTACTAACTCAATAATGGTAAACCAGAACTACTTTTAAACAAAATGTCATAATGCAACTAAGCATTGCGATTCACGTGAAACTAGTGGAATTTCAAGTGTAGCTCACTGCTTACCATATGCCGCTGGAGTTGTTCTTTGCGCTTCATGAAATTGAGGCAAAACTCACAAAAAAACAGTTTTGAACAGTCATTATATTCTGGAGGAAAAGGGGAAAAATACCACGTCTCAATCTCATATCTTCCAAGTTCTATAGTTGCTATATTTTTTACTTTAGTAAACTCTTCATGTTCACGTAAACTCGCAGCATCAAGCTCCTCATGGCCCTGGATATGAATGAAACTATGAATTCAAATTAATTTTGAGGGATGTCCAAGGTGATACAAAAGAGAAAAAAGAGAAAAGCATCAAACATGAACATTTAGACAATTGAGAAATGTATCCAATGACTATCCAACAATTAATGTTAAATGCAAAATGTTTTTCCCAAATGTAGGCTTCACTTCAGAGTCCTGGCAATAATAATACTGACAATATAAAATAGTATATTAGCAAAAAGAACTTGCACATACCTCTACATGTGTCTCATCAATCTTTCGTTTCTGGTGGCGCGTCATTTTCAAGCTTGTTGCCTGAAAATATCATGCATAAGAAACTTCTTGGGAGCTGTACAAAAGAATTCCTTTCTATGAGCCATTCTAGTAAAAGTAAATCACAGGAAAAAGCAAACAAAGCGTATACCCCCAATCATGGGTATAAAACAAGAAACCAAAATACAGTCTACAAAGTACAAACAGAATAGTTATAATGATAACTATTGGTAATTATCCATATCAATTCCTATGTTTCAAACACATCTCCTCTTTTTTATTTCTTTTGAAAAAGATAAAGTATCAAATATCATTAGATGCCAGGTGATCACATCTCATACCAGGAGATCAATTGTTTATCAAGAGAGATTGGTATCAGCTTCAGATCAAGTAGAAGATCAGCCAAAGGTTTGGCTGACACTTTAGGTTAACAAGGGACAAATAGGGGAGAACTTTTTGGGGCTTCTTTGTAACAAGAAAATACCATTGTGGGATTAGCACCCTAGAATTTGGATGTCTTTGTCTTTTGTAATCTACCAATTAGAAGTCACCATTTCCAACAAAAAAAAAAATCAAAAAGAGAGGGTAATCCCCCTATCTTCCTCTCTATATTGTTCCAATTTTACAAGGTACCTCCAAATAGGCCTCTATCTATCTGCTTCTTCTATCAATTTCCTCCTAATTTTCTAGTTCTTTTCATTATCATTGTTATTATTTTTTTATCAGCAACTCAAGAAAATTTTATTAAGATTAAAGAACAAAAAGGTACAACAAGAAGTTGTTAGGTAGAAGACCCTTTACAGCAAAGATCCCCACACACGGTTAACATTGAGCCAAAAACAAATGCTGCCTATGAGTTCCTTCCTTAGCCAATCCATCCGCCAACCCATTTGCAGACCTCCAAACCCATCTTACATGGATCTGCATGTTTCTTGAGATCATCTTGAATATTCTGAAATCATTTCTGAATTGCCATAGAACCCCTTCACCTTTTTTTTTATGAATAACCCCTTCACCTTTTTTCAACCAGCCAACGACTATTTTAGAGTCCCCTTCAAGAATCAGCCTAGTAATTCCCATATCTTTAGCTTTTTGCACCCAACAATAGCAGCCAAAAATTCAGCTCTCAATGAGTCACCTTGATCAATAGGTCCTGAATGCTTATATTCCCATTCTCATCTCTAAACACTCCAATTCCAGAAGACCCTGGATTGCCAAATCTACTTCCATCAAAGTTCAGCTTCATCCACCCACCACTTGGGGGGCTCCAGGTATCCAAGACCTTATATTTCCTAGAAGAGGAGAAGGCAATCGACCTCCAGTTTCGGAAGAAGCCATCCATTGAGAAGTCTGAGAACATTTTCTCACCCAATGTGTAGCTCTTACTGTAACAATTTCCACTAGTGCCACATTATTTTTTTCTCTCTTCAAAGATTCTTAGATTCCTTTCCTCCCAAACTCACCACACCACAACTGCCCTTACACACTTCCAAAGGATTCTACCTTTTCTCTTCGTGCTCCTCAGAAGAGATGGACTAAGGAGACCTTCCAAGCTACCAGGAGGGCTCTACCTGCAACCAAAAAGAGAGCAAAACCATTCCCAAATACAACAAACAAAGGGGCATGAAATTAGAAAATGGAAAGCATTCTCACCATTCACCTTACACAAGATGCACCAATTAGGAGACAAACACCAATTTGGCCTTTTCTTTTGTAGCACATCACATGTGTTGATGCACCCATGATAAACTTCCCAACAAAGGGCACTAACTTTCGGGGGGATAGGGGCACTCCGAATTTCTTTAACAGGAAAGGAAAGGGGAATGGGGGTGCACACAAGAGAAGAAAAAAGGGGTTAACAATTAAAAGACCCAAAGGGATTGAGATTTGAGAGACCACACCCTACTATCTTTCGCTAAAACATCAAGGGCAAGGCCATCCAGAATATTTAAAAAGGTTTGATACAGATGGAATTTCTGACTCTAGAAGGTTTGTCACAAGCCCCAAATTCCAGCCGCCCTAGGGGAGGAGGGAGACCCAAAGAAATCGGACATAGGTTTCTCCTTTAGATTAGAGAGGGCATACAATGCAGGAAACAAATCTTTCAAGGGAACATCCCCAACCCACACATCTTCCCAAAATCTTATCCTATTACTAGAAGCCAGATCATACCTGACATGCTCAAGGAATTGGGGCAAGATAGCATGCCCCATTCATTCCTAGCCAGCCCATGAATACTTGAGACCACTTTATGCCATAATCAGTCACATATTCTCTAAAGGGAAACACCACAACCACTTACTTAGAAGGGCAAGGTTTTTCTTACTGATGTTACCTATACCGAACCCCCCTCCTCTTTCCTTTTAACCACCTTTTCCCATTTCACCAAGTGGTCCTTTTTACTATCTCTCGGTTCCCACAGAAAGTCTCTCATTAGCTTTTCCACCCTCTTCACAACTGCTTGAGGCATCCTAAAAACATACATGAAGTAGATAGAGAGGTTGACCAAGGTTGATTTTATCAAAGTGATTATCCCTCCTAGAGAAATGTACTTCCTTTTCCACCCAGCTAATTTTTCTCAAATCTCTCAACTACTAGAGTCCAGAATCTTATAGACCTTGGATTGCCACCAAGTGGTATAATTCAAAGACCACACCCCTTTTTCCAAGAATCTCCGCAAATGAGTCAAGCTCCTCTTCCCCAACATTTAAACCAACCATTGCACTCTTATTCCAATTGATCTTTAGGTTAGGCATTATTTCAAAAAGGCTCACCACCAACTTCAGGTTTGTCACTCTATTCCTATCTTCCCCATCATAAAAAATCAAAATGTCATCTGCAAACTAGAGGTGGGAGACCATCATTCTATCTCTACCCACCTCCCAATCTTTAGTAAACTACAATTAGTTGGCTCTAGTAATCAGCTTACTTAGAACTTCTGGATGAAAAGGAAAAGAGAAAGGGGATCTCCTTGTCTAAGCCCTCTAATTGCTCCAAAAAAGTCCACCACCGACCCATTCACAATCACTGAGAAGTGACTAGTTTGCAGCCTTTAATCCACTTACACCAAAAATCCCCAAAACCAAAAGATCCCATGATATTAATCAAGAACTCCCAATCCACTAAATCATAAGCTTTCTCCAAATCCAACTTAATTGCCACACCCTTTTCCTTAGATCTCCTTGGGGCCTGCACAAATTCATTAGCAACGACGATTTGATCCACTACATGTCTATCTTGGATAAAGGCCCCTTGATAATGAGAGATTATCGAAGGGAGAACTTTCTTAATCTTCAAAGACAACACCTTGGTGATTATTTTATAGATGCTAGTAACCAAGCTGATAGGTCTAAAATCCTTAGGGTGAGTAGGATTAGACTTTTGGGCACCAAGGTTATAAAGGTAGAATTCATTCCCGAACTGATTTTACCCTTCAATTTTCTCTAAACACTCTAAGCAAATCTGATTTAATGATCTCCCAACAATCCTTAGCAATCCTTACCTGATCTGCAATTTCCCTTCCATCAATCTCCAAATTAGAGATGAGATTTTTCCTCCTACCATTTGCAATAGCATGAAAATACCTAGCATTGCCATCTCCTTTATTCTTTTTTTGTGAGCACATCAACTGCAAGAGCTATCTTACATCAATTCGGCATCAAAGATGTCTTGCATCACATGGCCTCTCCAAAGAATTTCAAGGTGTTCTTTCAAGGAAAAGAGGTCCTTCAGTCTTCCCCATGCATTCCCCTCCTAGAAGTTCACCCCTTCCTCGCATCACAACAGAGCTTAACCTTGTATTATATGGAAGCTCCCTTGGCAATAACAGGGAAGGAAAGTTAAAATCACTGAAGTTTTCATCAATTTGGATGGCAATATTTTGGGCAGTCAGCATTCCAATTGGGAAGTCAGTACCACAAAGACTGATGTGTTTGCTCTTCTAACTGTCTTGTAGATCACTTAAAGCTTGTGTCATTCTTACTTGCCCATTAAGAAAAACTAAATGTATTTCGTTAGATGAGCCAAAATGTAGGGCTGTCAATGGATCGGTTCTGATCAACCAACCGAACCGAACTGAACCAAGTATGCCAGTTCTGGTTCTATGATTTTGTCCCGACTAATAATTGAGTCAGTTCTGATTCTTGTTTTTTAAACCGATTCAGACCCGAAATGATTATTTTATTAAATACATAAGGGTTTCCTAGTTTTCCTATAATTTTTGTTATATTTTATGCTTCAAATGGTAAACTTGATAGATAATATATAAGATAATATTAGTTAAAAGCACTTAAGGCTATATTGTCAAAATTCAAGTTTTAAGTTATTATTTATATACATAAATATAGATGTCAGTATCCCGATTATTAATAGGGACAGTTCTGGGTCCTTGATATTGTCCCGATTAATAATCGGTTTGGGATGGGACGCCCTGTCCCAACCCAGACCTGACTCATTGACAGCACTACCAAAATGACAAGGAAAAAGGCATGGAGACTCATCAATTACCTCAATGGGATTAGAGACACTCCTCTGAGTGTTTACCATGTTGGTGCAAATCAGTTGTGAGTGCCAAACTCCATAAATGATAGTTTTGCAAGATCAGCATGGAAATGCAAAAGATTAGTGCTGCATTTACACACTTTATATAGCATAATATAGTCTCTCATTTATAAAGTTTTCTCTCATGACCGCAACCATTCTAAGTTAAACTAGAAAATGCAATATTTCTTTATTGGTTCTTTTGTTTTAAGGGAAGTTTAGCTTTCTTCCCCCCTACTTTCGGTGCAGCCATAATTTAGGGTCAGTATTGTACTATTGTTTATGTCATTCATTTTCATACATGGTGACAAGGATTATCATGGACTAGACCAGGTTGGGTTTTCATATGGGTCCAAGAGCTTTTTTTTTAGGAAACGGAAACTTTCATTAGATAAAACTAGAAGAACTGTCACCTTCTAAAGTGAAAGGTGACCCCTGAACAAAAACTAACTTACAACACTGCCCAAAACAAAACCTCCTGATTCACCCAGCTCCCTTGTAAG